GGCATTTCAGTGTTTCAGAGTCTCCAACGGTTCAGATTTGGTTGGTCCTCATTTCGGCTCTGAGTCTAGACTCACTGAGCGGGGACTTGACTATATGATTAACGTGAAGCTGGTGAGATTTAAGCACATGCTTAAAGTTAAGCAGTCACTGAAATGCTGTCATAAATAAGGATGCTTTCCTGAATCCAGGCCCCCATCAGTAATCCTATGGAAGTCAATGTGCATAACGCATAGTACCTGAAGTCAGTGGGACCATTAGCACAGTAGGGTTCTACTGAGCATGAGTTAGGGTATGCAAATTTGGCCCCTCTTTTGATTTCTCCACCATAGAGATTGTGTATATAGGAGAACAGCAAAGGGTGCGGGAGAGGGAGAACCCACCAAAACATGAGAGATCTCTTTATTTTTTAATGTAACATCACCCCTAAAATGTAAGGCAACTGAAGTTTGGAATTAGATAATTTGAAGCCCCTCTTTAATAGCTGCATTTTTGTTGCTCTTCCCTGGCTTTGAAGCAGGTGTTGAGTTGAATAGCTATTGACCATAGGCTGCCTCAGCCTGCAGTTTATGTATTTGCCTTTTTTCTATGAAAAACGGGTTTTTGTTTTTACTACTTCCTGTGTACAAAGGTTTAGTGTAAATGGGGCTTGCCTTTGCATGATCTTTACGGGGCCATATTTTGGTTTCTAAAACTCATTTTTTTTCTAAATGCAGAACTGTAAAATATCTTTGTTTTGTTTTCTGAATTGTGAAATAAAACCTATACAAAAAACAAGATGTCAGCCCCTTAGTTTTAAAGTGTAACTTTTCACTGGCTTCATTTAGGAGGCTGAGCGTGGGATATCTTTTTATTTATTTATAGTACTTGAGCACCTCAATTAAGAGTCTAATGTGCTCGGTGCTGCGCAAATGTGACAAATGCCATCTTGGCCGACATACCGTGGATTGAACCAGGGACTTCCAAATCTGAAAGCATAAAAGGGCCATGATCTATAACTGGAGTTGTAATGGATTCATATCTTCTGTGGATCAGGAAAAGAGAGGAATCTATTATTGTGCGGGAAGTTCTATGGTCTGTGTTATGCAAAAGGTCAAACTAGATCACAATGGGTCATTCTGGTTCTGGAGTCTATGAATCTATAGTACACACTGAGCAGTAAACTATAGATATGTCTGGTCTACGCTACATAATTAGGTTGTCACATGTCTCCTCTCTAATGTATCTTCAGCTGACATAAATGCCTCATTGGAATGACATAGTGAAACCACCTTTCAGAATAGCGTGCTCTAGTTGAGCTATTTATGTTGACATAATGCGAGTTTAGACAGTGCACAACCTGTGCCAACCCGAAGGGTCCTCCATCGGCTTAGGTCCCACAACGTCATAGTCCCCATGACTGATTGCTCTGGCCACAGTTGTAAATTGCACTGCTCATGAGTCATGGGCACTCCCTTTAAAAGCCCAACCCCCCTCCCCCAAGTGTTTTGGAAAGGTCTTTTTCTGATTGCCTCCCTTGGTAGGGCACACAGCTGTGACAGGTTCCTGCTTGTGTGCAACTGTTAAAGCTGATCATTCCAGCTCTACTTCTTAGCCACATTCATGCCTGGTGTAGATTTCCTGGAAGTGACATATTGGCCTGGGTGGCTTTGGGACACCAGTAGCAGCTGAGCTCTGTGTGCCTTTGTTACCCTGGGGAGTGAGCTACCAGCTAAAATTAACACCACCTATAGAAAATAGTGCCCTTGTGTCAGTGTTGAGTCAGCAGACAGCCGCTTCACCTACATCAGGGGTGTCCAAACTTTTTTCAAAGAGGGCCAGATTTGATGAAGTGAACATGCATGAGGGCCGACCATTTTGCCTGACATTCTTTGAACCATTAAAATTAAATGCAAATTAACTATTTTATGCAAAGTTTATTGCAAACGGCAAACGACATAACACCAACTATACATGTTGGGCTCGTCTACACTGGCCCCTTTTCCGGAAGGGGCATGTAAATTTCACCTATCGTAGTAGGGAAATCCGCGGGGGATTTAAATATCCCCCGCGGCATTTAAATAAAAATGTCCGCTGCTTTTTTCCGGCTTTTAAAAAAGCCGGAAAAGAGCGTCTACACTGGCCCCGATCCTCCGGAAAAAGTGCCCTTTTCCGGAGGCTCTTATTCCTACTTTAAATATCCCCCGCGGATTTCCCTACTACGATAGGTGAAATTTACATGCCCCTTCCGGAAAAGGGGCCAGTGTAGACGAGCCCAACATGTATAGTTGGTGTTATGTCGTTTGCCGTTTGCAATAAACTTTGCATAAAATAGTTAATTTGCATTTAATTTTAATGGTTCAAAGAATGTCAGGCAAAATGGTCGGCCCTCACGCATGTTCACTTCATCAAATCTGGCCCTCTTTGAAAAAAGTTTGGACACCCCTGGTATATAGCATTCCTTTGTATCAGGGAAGATCTAGAATTCAGAATGACCTTAGAAAAATCAATTAGCTGAATGTGATGAGATAAAGAATTCTCACTTTCCTCTGTTTATAGCATGTTCCTCCTCTAGATAGTCTTGAATGGAAAAACAATGTGGAACAACTTGGTATTCACATGTTCTTAGAGCTTTACAAAAATCTTCAGCATTATTCAGCAATCAAGTATAGCCGCCAACAATATCTTAATACTAGACAGTTTGGTACTTGAATACTAAAGTGAGTAACAGACCATAGATGTTGCATCTCATCTGTGTTTTTACAGTAAATAAAGCATGTATATCTTTAATCTGTCACTCTCCTCTTTACACTATATTAACATTTTCCCTTGTCTTCTATAAATCTAAGTCCAATAGAACTGTCAACCCTTTCTAAGGATTATTTTGAAGATGGACAGCTCTGACATTATGAATTAATTTTTTTTTATCAGCTTGTTTATCCAGTAAAACAAAAAATTGTTTATATTAGCATTGAAACAAGCTATGTTAGAATCAAAACCCTGCTGGAAAATATACATAATCCAATTCAGTCCCTACATTTTTCAGAATTAAAAAAACTTAAAATTAGTCTCAGCTGGAAATTGCTGCTCTCAGAATCTCTAAATGTTGTTGGTCAGGACTTCATAGACACTAGAGAACCTGACATTAGCTTCCCAATGCTAATCTTTGCTCCATGATACTATGAGCTAGATGAATAATTTTAAAATGCTCTGTGAACGTTCACGTGAAATATTAAATGAATTCACTATATATATTTTTTCAATAGGATATATATATATATCCCATTGAATATTTACACAAGGGAAACAGTCCAATTTACTAGCACAAAATCCACAGAAAGTGAATTTCAAAGCAAGGTTCAATTGGAAATGAGTGCGCATTTTTTTTGCTCCTAATTAATGCAAATATGGCATTTGCTCCCATATGTAAGCCTTGCCCTCAGTTGCACCTATTCAGTGTCCATTTGCTTGGTTGCCCACTTATAACTGAGGGCAGAATTTGAACCAGCCTGCTGCCATATATAGGAGTGATCTAGTGGCCTCTCTCTTCAGTGGGAACAGAATTGGGTTGCCAGATCCGGCTCCTCATCATCACTATTCATGGGAAATACAGGTGTCTGTTAAGCTAGCTATGAATACTCCAGT